CAAAATTGCTCCTGAAATGCTTATTACGTTTCTTGCTAACATCCCCATTTGCAGCATCAGTGCCTTTGTTCTTATCATTGGTTATCTTTTTCGTCTTCAATAAATTTGCATCTCTCACCACCGTACTTTCAGTCTCCAGCGCTTCCCCATGGGATTCATTACATCTCCTTCTTGGACGTAGTTTAGAAGCCTTGTTAATGTCAATAGCATCTTCCTCACCAACATCAACTAACTCATCACCCATGGTTATCATCAATATATTTGGATCAGTAAGAGGTGATGGATGTCCTTCTGTCGGATTAGAACCTTCACATTCCTCGGAAGGTTGAGATATCCATCTTTTTCCCTTAACTGAATGCAACCTTCTGCTCCTTTTCTTCCTTGGGAAAGATCTGCCATGCACATTCTCAATCTCATTGCCATTTGTTAACCTCGAAACTTCTTCTGGGGAGATCTCACTATACATATCCAAAGAAAAATAAATCCAGAATCAATACAAATATATAGCATAGTAGCCATAGAAGCAAGGAACAAGAAAAGAAGGATAGCTACCCAGGAGGAGCATTTTTTCCAGTACAATTCTTTCCTCGCCTACACACAGTCAAAGAATCAATCAGTCCAAAGAAAACAAAAAAGATACACCCTATAGATAAGCGTATCAGAGAAACAACATACCTTGATCTTCTTCTTTTTCTACTAGAAGGGTCAACTTTATTGGATTCAGTGATACAATTTGGCAAAGGAGCAAAGTCATTAGGTCCAAGGGCAGGTCGCTCTGACTCCCTATCCACAAAATTGGAAATAAGTGCCACCTTTTGTATCTTTCTAGCTGCTTGAAGCTGGGGCACTTCATGTGGAAACAGCACCTTCCATCTCCTAACAATTAGAGTGACAAAAAGCTCAACAAAAATGAAAATCAACACCACACAAGTTTAACGAACTCAATAAATCACTTTTCACTGCCATGAAAAATCCCTACCTACGACACTGATTATCAGTACGTGGAGGAACACATGAAGCAACTTTTGACCAGTAATATCCGTGTTCTAAAATGGCTGCTTCCAACTTTGAATCCTCTTCTTCAGTCCATGCAGCCAGATTCAAAGAAGGATTCAAGCAATTGACCCATCTGCCACAGTACAAAGAGCATAACTCAACTACTCAACTAAAAATCATATCTTAAGTATCACGCTATAATTCAAAGAATACCTTTCTCTGCACTGTGCCTGTGTCCGTCCATACACGAACTGAGCTACTTTCTTCCATGTCTTTGGCCCAAAAAATGTAACCGCGACTTTCAAGCGTCTGTCTTCATCTTCAGTCCATCTTCCAACCTTTTTCCTGGTCGGATGAAGTGTTTTCATCCATCTGCAATTTCCGCCAAACAAAAGAAAATTCAATGAACTTAAAAAGTTTCATAAAACATTTTAAAACAGGAGATATGAACTAGAAGTAAACAAGACCAACTCAAGCTCTTAAAATATCGTTCTCAAGAATAAGGACATGTTTGATTCCCATTCTTTTCAAACTCTTTTTCTATAAGATCATTTTCAACCATACATTCACACAATAAAATATTTTGCACGTAAACTCAAATTTTTTTCCCTACTTTTAACCACACATTCTCCTGAAATACCATTCGAAACACTCTGGTTTTTTTATTTTTTTATTTTTTTTTATTTTTATTTTTTTATAAAAGAATAGCCACCAAGCAGGGGCTAAAAACATCAAGTATTGTAGCTTGAAAGGATTGTCTCCAATACGAGACCCTAGGAGTTAATTTCAAGTTCTTTTTCCATTATTTCTTTCATTGTTTTATGTTGAGGGGAGGAAAAAAGGTGATTGTTTGAGTGTTGACAGGTGACTGCCAACATGTTAAAAATTTTGCTTACGCTGCAACGACAAAAAAATAGAGAAACCATGGTTTGATATTATATATTTCACCAAGATAATCACAAAAGGCCTATTTTATTTTAGGGACTTTGAGAACAAGTTTCAGATAAACTTCGATCTTTTGCTAACCAGCACTAATTCTTCGATGGACCTATCGTTTGATGCAATCCTGAACCCATTGATAATGAGTTGGATCATATAATTCAATCTAGACCACATCCCCAGTAACAAAATCTGCAAAAATAAAAAATGGTTGGTGCTACTGGAAAGTAAGGATTCAATATTTCCTAGACACTAATAATAGACCCCAGATAATATGCCTAAAGTCCGTACTGCAATATAATGAGAAATTATTCGTCCTTGATTCGAAGGATCAAAATTTCGAAAAACCACACAAAATTTAAGTACTCTTTCCCTCCCACTCCACAAGAATTGAACACCCATATTCTAGAAACATACAAGCCTATCACCCACAATGCACCAAAAACCAAATTTAACCACCCCACATTTTTAGTTAGGATATTTCGCATTCTCAATAAAATTTATGAAGATTCACCCACTTCTTGTTATTTTGTACAATACAGAGGAATCCTATCTAATTCACTAATTTGTGAGATAAGAGACATAGGGCTAAATAGAGAGCCAAAAAAGGATCTATCATGTATAATCTAGAGAAAACTCATCAATTGCCATTATCTTGGAAAATCCAATGGAGGTTTTCTCTGATGTTCATGGTCATATTTCTGGATCTCAATAGATTTAATGACATAAACTCTATAGGTACCAAAAAGCATAAGCTAGCAAATATAGTGCTTGTTTGAGTCACATTATTCCAAAAAAATGTATTCTTAAACAGTGATTTGATATCATTTCAACCACACATTCTTTAATAAATAATATTACATGCAAATCAAAAACTTTTCCTTATTTTTTAACCACACATTTCCCATCAATACACTATTCAAGAATGTATTATTACAAAAATAATGTGGCTCAAGCACCCCCAAAGTATGCACTGCATGTACAACTTTCTACACTCCAAACTCCCAGTTTCAGTATAGCCCTTCAGTGATATTCCAACATTCCCATGAACCGGTCAATCCTAAATCAGTTATGGCGGGCAGAACAAGCATTTACTGTCTCCATGATGGAGCAATAACAGGACCAGATTGACAAAGCAAGCTATTTCAGGGATATTGTTTTATATTGCCAAGATTGCTTAGGAAAAGAGAAATTTCTTGTCACATATATTAGGAGGAGCTAATTCAAACCATAAAATAAGAACTCTAAGATACAAACTATTTTATCATTTGAAAGAATTCATTAAGTTGCTTATCCTAAGGATGCAAACTATTTTGTATAGTGTCAAGAACTAACGTTTGCTGAACCTCAACATCCAAGCTCTAACAGAAAAGGCAATTGGCAAGTGCAATAAACCTAGTTGCTTCTTGTGGATTTTCATGATTGTGCAAGCAAAAATGTTGGCAATTGAAATGGATGTAAGAGTTATACTATTTATCACCAAACCTTAAAGGGGTGACAACATCACTTGTGAGTCTTTGGTGCCCTATTTAACTAAAAACTGTAGAATGCAAACTAGCTTTGAAAATAAAATTTCATGGAATAACACTTCAACTGCCATGTTAACGCAACATAGTATCCACGCTTCATATCCTAAATAGGCATTTTCATTCAGTTCACAAAATCTTAAAAATCAAACTTCTCATTGAGCATGTTGACTGACCTATTAGAGCACTGGGTACCTGTCCGTCCTTCGATCAGGGAAGCAACAAGTTGCCAACTACTCTCACCAAAGTTTTCTACAGCAGAACGGAGTTGATTATCTTCCTCCTCTGTCCACTCCCTTTTGAGTATTGAAGCATTAAGACTCCTTTGGTAGCGTGATAAGCATTGAAAAGGGGTCCTATTTGTTCCCAGTGAGACAGCAATATCTATCCAGTTACTTAGACCCTTCTGCTGGATATTATACAAAAGATTCTTGTCCTCCATTGTAGTCCATGGATGTCTATTGATTAAAGGGTCTTCAAAGTTCAGCCACCTGTAAGAGTTTAATAGACTTTAGTTATGTGGAAAAAACACGCACTATGATTACTGTACACGTTTCAGCAACCAAAATGCATAAACGTAGCATGCCTCCAGATGTAATGGCAAATATATCAGGATAATGTTGACACCAATTTAACGGTTCTAAATTTGTTTTCACGCATCGACACCGATCCAAACAGTGACATAACAGACTCTAGGGGTATGAAGTGTTTCTTTCATAATTAGCTGAAAAAACAGAAACAGAATGTTGATATAATGATTACAACATGCACCAATGCAAGTATGCAACTTCACATGATTATATTCCCATGATTAAACATTAAATAATTTAGCCCCCGTTTGAGCCTCATTATTTCTCATTACATTAAATTAAAATTTTCTCTCTCCTACTTTTAACCACACAATCTTCAATAAAATAATATTATACGTAAAGCAAAAAATTTTCAACCACTCATTTTTTTTTTAAAAAATACTATTCATCTCATTATAATGCCAAATAATGGGGCTCAAACACACCCTTAGGAACTTGCACCCACCCAGTCCATAGTTAAATGAATACTTGGGTACTTATTCTAATTTTCTTGGCAACGCAAGTTCACATTTTGCAGCAAGCCAGTACTGATAATTTTCATCCAGAAGATCTCTTGAAACCCCGTGGCTCGCACATGATCAGTAGTATTCTTTAAAAAGACAAATGTAGCCTTACTTTAGTCAAATAAAAAGAAAAGAAAAAGGAAATTATGGATACAGAAGAATTGAAAAATAAGAAAGCAAGATTAGATGATTTAAAATTAACCGCAGCCATCCCCCCTGCCCCCCAAATCCCAACCACTGCCCCAGTCACCCCAACATCCTCCCTGACCAACAAGCCATGCCCTCACACCCTCAAGGCCACAACAGCAAACCCACCTGCTGCTCTGACACGCCGTCAACCCCCTTGCTGACCAACCCTCACCATCTAATTTCAAAGTGATGGCAAGTTATAGCAGCAGGAATCCCAATCAAGAGTGGATCAATGGATTAGAAAGGTGATTCTTTAATGTCGGAGAATGCATGCAGAGGATCTGTACCTTATGAATAGAAATTGGATGCAAATAAATAGGAAGTTCATATCCCACAGACGAATAACTAGATCTTTACTTTATACTTTATGTTTTGTTGATATTTAACATACTCATTAATCGCAGCTCACTTATACAAAAAAAAAATTGATTGACTTGTCACTGCTATCTGGATAAATTTTTTGAATGAGCTAAATGAAGAAGAAAGTGGGATTTCTTACAGAGAAAAGTTCGAACATTTAGTTACATCAATATACCGCAACAACAAATCTTCACAATTAATTAAGCATTTATATAGGTCAAAATAAAAGTTAACGTGATTTTCCATTGTTTTACGCTTGCAATAATGTTGCACCTTTCATTCCTATTCTCCATGCAAGAGCCTCTGGCACTGTGAACTTATTGAGAAGTATGTGAAGGGAGAGTAGAACAAGAAATAAGAAGGAGCTGTTTCTTTTATCTTTCTAAATTGGCGCTATTTCTCCCATAAAAGACCTGAAAACTGTCTGCAATGTGAGCTGCCTGAAATTTTAACCGCTCTTTATAATGGAAACATCAAGTTGAAGTTTTTTTATACAAAATTTGAGTTTGGGAACCATTTCCCCAGAAAATTAGAATGGAAACCTTAATGGACTCTTTATATAAAAATTGGATTCTAGGTGTAAAACATAATTTAATTTCAAGTATAAGTTGCCAGTTGAGTTATGGATCTCACGATCAATCTGTCAACACTGCACTAACCACTCTAAATTTATTCAATAACATCAACCAAAGGTTTCCCCTTGTCTGGTCTTTCCTTCACAGTTTCTAACTTTTAAAAGAAAGTATGTTATTATTCAAGAGATCAGCTTTACAGTTAAGCAAGATATACCCAGAGAATCACATACAGCATTTGCATAAAAAATCAGTAATGTTCTTCCTGCTAAAATAGTCCACCCATCTTACCTTGCTTGACATTCTACACCAGTGCGGCAAGGAACATACATGAAAGCCAGTTGTTCCCAGTCGACCTTGGGCAGGAATGATCTCATTATCTCAGGGGTTATATCAAGATCTTTTATTGATGCAACAATGCTATCAACATTATTTGAATCTCCAGAAGATCCATCTCCAGCACTGAAAATAGACAACATATAAGTTCAAATAGGGCAATGAGAATAAATCATAAATGCAATTCTATAATCTGAGGAAAATACTATTAGAAAGTCAAAGAGAACAATCTAGTAAGAGGTAAGAGCAGGACTCATGGTATATTATACTATTAGAAAGTCTTACAGTCTTTCTCCAGCATCATTTCATTTCTACTCATTATCTGCACACATTTTGCTCCTAGATTTAGATTACTTCATATCCAGATATTTGCTAAAAAAGATCTTTCATCTCCCTATACTTAATTTCATATAATTCATTATTATCTTTCACCTCTATATACCTCCTTAGTTTCATATAATTCATTATTTTAAAAGACAAAAACAATGTCCATGAAAGTCGAATGACCTATACATCAGAACTTTCACCAAGCGATAGTAAATAGTCATATCATATGTACAAATAATCTGTCAATACTAAAATTTTGTAAACTGACTTGAAAACAAAATCCTATGAATCTGTCAATACTAAAATTTTGTAAACTGACTTGAAAACAAAATCCTATGTTGAGATTATTACACTTGTTACATAGATCATGAGAGGCTTGAAAACCAATAAGTAATACTATTAAAGACGCAGCATCCCATAGATTTAGTAACACATAATTATACACATATAACCCCTAATGTACTTATTTTAAATCAATTTTTTTACTTCAATGACGACCAAAACTAGGTTTACTTCCAATGAACTTAGACCTGGATAAGATAGGTGAATCGTTTTTCTTTCAATCTAGAGTTGCTAATGTTGTAAAGACTAATGAAACCAAATCCTTAGTTTATTCTACTCATGAAACATTACTCTTATGCCTAAGAACTTCAACATGTCGCAACAATCTATATCATAGTTCCCTTATATCCTCATTTCTTATTAGATCATTCTAGGAAGGTCTTGTATCTATTTTATTGCCTCATTTTCCCTACATTCATTATTAGAATTTTTTTCACTGCCATAAAATTATCATGTACACTCGTTACATAGAACCCCTTTTTAACTTGGCGTCTTACAATCTTATAATCACAGGGTTCCTGTACCCCTTCTTATGTTGTCAATATTGCTCTTATCTAATTGTAAACATCCTCTTCAAATCAACGTTCATTTTTAATGTACTTAGGTCCTAGAAGAAACTTTCTTGAGAAAACATAATCCCATATTTTAACTCAGGCATCATCATAGATCCTCCATAAAGGACATCTCATATTTTTCACCTTGATTTTAGAACTCTTAAATTCAAGAGTGCTACTGGAAACTTTTCTCATGATTTGGCCACCACAAGTTGCCAGTTAAGTTCACTGTGTGCTCTTTTTTGGTTGGAATGCTGAATTATTCATTGTGACTCACAAATCAAGTAACAAAACAGAAAAATGACGCACTCAAATTTATGCATCAAAGACAACTACCGAAATAGAAGACTGAATTAATGCATCAGATACAAAACTAAACAAATTTAGTTCAACCATTAAAGAAAAATCAGGTGTTGGATATCATGTCAAAATTAACATGAATTTTCAGATCACCATTGTATTCCAGTTCATATAATTGTGCATTCCAAAGAAATAATTAAACAAAAATAATCGGCAATTTCAATATTATGCAAAGAACAACTTCCACGTGAAGCTGCATCCTATTATCCAAATCATCATTCTATCTTCATTTACTGCACACTACTTGAAATCTACAGGTTTCTCATTCTTGTACTTCTGGACAAATTAAGTGTTCCAATTGTCACTGAACTTAGGTCTATATCTTTGATTGGTCACTGAAATTCAAAATGTCGAGTCTTGGCCACCGAACTTTAGTCCATATCTTCAATTGCTTAGTGAAGTTTAAAATGTCGAGTTTTGACCACAAAGTTTTGAAAAATGTTGTACATTACTAATTATAAATTCGAAATTTTTCAAAGTTCAACATTTATAATAGTATCATACAACATTTTCTAAAGTTCAATAGTCAAAAATCGACATTTTAAATTTTGGTGAGCAATCGAAGACATGAATCTGAGTTCAATAACCAAAATTCGATATTTTAAACTTCAGTGATCAATCAAAGACATGGACCCAAGTTCAATGACCATTGGAACAATTAATTCTCCGGACAAAACA